ATTTGTCCACCAATCACACCATCCAACCGCCCTTCCTTCTCACCAGACCCCTCAACAGCCACCTCCCTCCTACAAAGGGAACTCTCCCTCTCCAAGACCCACGCAGCCTCCCTCCAAGAAACAATCTACCAACTAAACAGAGAACTTCTAAAGGTCAAGTTGAAGGTCATCGGTGAGGCCGGTCAAGGCCAAACTGAGGACGACGATGAAGAGGTGGTAAGGAGGGTGATGGCTGGAAAGAAAGGTGATGGAGGAGGTGGTGGTGGAGGAGGTGCGACTAAGGTCGGTGATTCAAGTGGTGGTGGTAGTGGTGATGGTAAGGTCAATTGGAAAGATATCAGAGTGCAGGTTATTTGTTTTTTTTTGTTGCTGGAACACATTTTTAGCCAATTCTGCAGCTTTCAATTGCCAAATGGTTGAACTATTTCAACCTGAAAAAAACTTGGTAATTGAAGTTGGCTCGCTGCGTGGTGGCCTACTTTGGTCTGAAAAACATTCCCGACCTTTTTTGTAACCGAAAACGTCTGCTATGTTTATTCATGTGCGCTGGTACCTGTGTGTTGTTGTTGATGTTGTTTTTGATGCTGATGTTGTTGTTGATGTTGTTGTTGATGGTGTTGTTGATGTTGTTGTTGATGTTGTTGTTGATGTTGTTGTTGATGTTGTTGTTGATGTTGTAGTTAATGTAGTAGTTGTTGACGTTGTTGTTAAAGTTGTTAGCTGTTGATGATGTAGATGTTGATGATGTAGTTAATGTAGATGTTGTCGGTCGATATTGTTGTTGTCGTCGGTGTTGTTGTAGTAGTTTGTTGTTGTTGACGATTTTTCAGAGGAATGGAACAAAAAAAAATGTTTGACTTTGTTTCAAACTTTACTGAATACGTTGAAAAGTGTTAAAACACTAATTTTGCGAATAAAATAATCAAAAATCAGGTGAGCTGTTGGGAGGAGGAGACCGGAAATTTGAGGATGAGGAACTTCACCTTGAGGCATGGGTGCTCAATTCTGAAAACCAAACTTCCCAGATACCGATCCAGCGAAGCTACTTCTAGTGGTGATGGTGGTAGTGTTGGTGGTAGTGGTGATGATGGTGGTGGTGGTAGTGGAAAGCGTGGTGAAATCGTCAGTGGAGAAAAACCACGTAAAGATATTTGGGAAGATGATGGCGATGACGAAGATGCGAGGTTGAAGCTGAAGGAGTTGCAAGGAAACAGCAAGGAGTACCTGATGGAGAGGGTGGTGGAGATGGGGGAGGAGTTGAGTGAGTTTGGGTTGGGTGATGATGATGAGGGTGATGACCAAGGTGAGGTTGATGATGAATTGTTCATCTTACTTTTTGAACTATCCGCAAAAATTTATCATATCTTTCAAAATTTGAACCATTTTTTAAAAACGTTGATACATTCGGCGGTTCATTAACTATTTTCACCATTTCAGTCACACACACGCTACCACTCCTCTGCACGTCTCATCATTTTTCATCATCGCCCTCACCACCCGTCACGATCTCACCGCAGGAAGTCTGCGGAAGATGTTGAAATGTCGGGACGACGAGAACGACCGCCTGGAGGAGGAAGTGGCGCAGAGCAGGGAGGACATGTATCAGATGATTGGCGGTTTCAAGAGGAGAGAGAGTGAGTTGAGGGAGGAACTGGATGACGTCACCAGCAAGTACGCCGCACTCGAAAGTTTGCTGGCACTCGTTAAGGACAGGGCCGAGGTCACACAGAAGGAGCTGGAGAGGTTCGTGTGCGTGTGTTTGTGTGTGTGTGCATGTTAGAGTAGTTGTGTGTGTTTGTGTGTGTGTGCATGTTAGAGTAGTTGTGTGTGTTTGTGTGTGTGTGTGTGTGTGTGTGTGTATGTGTGTGTGTGTGTGTATGTGTGTGTTGATTGATTGGAAATAGGAAAAAATTCATGAAAAAACAAACAAATTAACTAATCTTAAAACTTTAAATTGAAAAAAAACATGGTCGCCAACTTGAACAGACTCCAAAAGGCGGGAAAAATGGAAGCATCAGCGAATGAATCCAAAGTCCGTAAGGATGCGGCACTGAGCAGCACTGACGAGGCTCTGAAGGTTTCCACGGGCATCCTTGAAAATTTAATTTAAATCTTTTTTTCATTTCCATAAAATTCGTTTAATAATTCGTAATTTATGTAAAAAACCACTGAGAGGATGGTTTTAAAATTTTTTTCATTTTACGCAAAACCCTTCTTTATGTTTTTCTTTCATGGTCTGGTGGGGGTTGCATCCCCGCACCCCCTCTCTTTGGATTCTACCTGGATCCGTCTTTGTCATTTCATCATCATCTTCTTCATAGTTTTCTTCATGATTTTCAACTTTTTCATCATCACCATCATTACTTTCATCATCACCAACACCACCGTCATCATCATCGCCATCATCATTATCATCATCATCACCATCATCATCACCACCACCACCACCATCATCATCATCAGAAGCAGATCAGCCTACTCGAGAAGATGCTAAACAGTGAGAAGCGCAGAGCGGAAGCAGCTGAGATGAAATTAAAGATGGCCGACCGGTCGCCATCTTTAAATAGGGATGGCAGGGTGGAGCAGCATGAAAAAGATATCACTCAACAAGAGGTTAGATGCGATTTTTTTTATTATCATTTAAGTTATGCGATGTGATCATGATATATATCTTGATATATATCTTGATATACATCTTGATATATTAAATCAAATCATTTTTATTTACTCAAACAAAACAAAAAGTATGAATGATTCGGAGACCAGAAAGAGAAAATGAATTCTGGTGGGCTCGGTAACTTAGCTTATCAATGTCCTGATAATGTAACGAGAATAAATTAGAATTAGAATAAAATAAAATTTTTAATATAGGAAAATTGTCCAAATGTTAATAAAATAAAATTATTATCTTTTAATGACAGAACTTTTAGTAATTAAATATTTTTTCAGTTTATTTTTAAAAAGACACAAATAGATACAATCTTTAATATTCCGTGGGATTGTTTCTGCGACTGCAAAGGTGCGTGCCTGTCAAGAGTTTTATTGAGAACGTTATAGAATTTCAGGCACGCTGTATTTATATTTATTCTCGTTTTTACCGAATGCCAATTTTGAAATGAAAGGGTTTTTTTTTATAAAAAAAATAGGTGATATTATGGTATATGTCTTCAAAATGATCTTCTATGAAATTTTTATTATTTAACATTTTCTCTCTTCTATTATTGCCTGTTAATTAATGTCTCTTCTTTCGTCTGTATCTCCTTCGAGACACAACCACGTTCTGCTACCTGCGATGGCCAAATTGCGCATTTCGCCTGTGTCATCTTTATTGATGCGGACTGACTCGAAACTCTGACCTCCATTTTCATGTTCCTCGCTTTTATGTTCATCACTTTTCTCTGGGGATGTATTGGAAAACATGTGAAAACTTGAATGTCGTTTATTGGCAATTCTTCAGTTAGGCCATTTTCGGAACATGTGACAAGATTCCTGACTAAGAACACGAACTTGACCACGGGTTTAAATCTTCTTAATTTAGAATTTCCATCTTTTTTACTACCTCGAGCAATATTTGTATTGACTTTGATTTTAGAATTTAAATTTTTATTATCTGCATTAGTATCTAATATCTATATGGAGTTTTTTCTTGCTGCGATCAACAACTCTGAATGGCATCTCAACATTTTCAGCGTCAGATCCGCTCACCATTCCAACTTTATTCGATGGTGTTGGTTGCGAGGCTCTCGGTGGTGATTCATTCTTTCGTTCGTTCGTTTGCTCGTTCGTTCGTTCGTTCGCTCGTTCGTTCGTTTATTCATTCATTCATTCATGCATTCATTCATTCAGCTGGTTCTCAGTCAGAAGCAGTTGAAAGCCACGGCGGACCGATTGAGTGGAATGAAAGAGAAGTTGTCTCAGTTGGAGGAGGACCATGAGAAACTCCTCTGCGACCATCGGAAATTACTAAGAGAGGTCTGTGCGATGAGTAGGCCAACGAGGTAGTGTAATGGTCTACGCGCCTGGTCTGACTGTTGCGGAGCGCTGGTTCGAAAGCAAAGTGATTCCCACCTGATTTGTATTTGAGTGCAGTATCTGCCTTGATATCCCTGAGAAGAGTGTGTGATTAATTTTAAAAAAGAATTGACGGTTCTGATTGTGGTGTGAGTTTATGGTGATGGTTGTGTTGTAAGGAAAATAATCGTGGTGATGGTGATGATAACGCTGATGATGATGGCGATGGTGGTGGTGATGATGACGATGGTAATGGTGGGGTGGTGGTGGTGATGATGATGATGGTGGTGATGATGATGATGATGATGTAAAGATTCACATCACTTCCAATTATTACAACACAAAACTAGGTCAAAGATTTGAAAAAACGGAAATCCCCACCGGCGGCTATGACGTCATCGGCTACGTCGGAAGACATTTTTGCGTCATCATCATCATCAGCAGCAGCAGCAACTAAACCACCAAACGAAACAATATTATCAACGACGACTACCTCATCATCGTCGTCGTCATCATCATCAGCACCACCACAGCCACCACCGTCATCATCATCAGTACCACCGTCATCATCATCCTCATCATCGGCAACCACCAAGGAGCCATCATCGTGGAGGTGGGAGAAGTTGGAGATGGAGAGACAGATGAAGGAGCTAAGGAGGAAGTTGGACGAGAGTTACTCAGAGATGAGGAGGATGAAAGTGAAGTGGCGATCGGTGGGGGAAGACAGAGATAGGGTGAGAAGTGGGGGGCTGCTGGTAGAGGTGGGGTGATGTGGTGGAACGAATCATGCAAACAATTATTTCACAAAATAAAAAATTATTTTCATATTTTTTGTTATTTGATGAATGCAATGATACAGGTAAGGATGATAATGATGACGACGACGATGATGGTGGTGGTGATTACGATGATGATGATGGTGATGATGATGATGAGAGTGATGATGATGGTGATGATGACGTCGATTGTGATTACAGTTATGATGATGAAGATTTTAATTGTAATGACGATGATGATAAAATAAAACAAAATTAAATAAAGTTAAATTAATTTTTTTTAAACAGGATAATCAGATCAAAGCAGAGTTGGAGAAGAAAATAGAAAAGTTGAAGGAGGAAAATGATGAGCTACTGAAGAGGATTGAATGTGTACGTTCAATGTGTGATTGGTTGGCTGGTTGGCTGGTTGGTCGGTTGGTCGGTTGGTTGGTTGGTTGGCTGGCTGGCTGATTGGTTTGTCGATTGATTAGTTGGTTGGTTGGTTGGTTGGTTTGTTGGCTGGCTAGCTGGTTGGTCGGTTGGTTGGTTGGCTGGCTGATTGGTTGGTCGATTGATTAGTTAGTTGGTTAGTTTTTTGGTTGGTTGGTTGATTAATTGACAAACAAACCAACAGGAAACAGATTCAACCCAAAAACAAGCAGTCCAACACCAGCTAGAATTAAACATTGCAATCAAGGATCGTAAAGAAGCGCAACAGGAAGTTGACCACCTTAACGAACTTCTAGTATCCAAAGATCATATAATCCACCAAAAAAATAAATTGATAGAGCAGAAAGATTACATTATTGCGGAAAAGGAAAAGGCTTTGAAGGAAAACGCTGAAGCCACGATCGTCGCGGAAGTAGCGCTGAAGAACGTGGAGGAGCAGATGAATCTGTTGAAGAATGACGTAAAAACGTTGGAGGTGGAATGCGCGCAAATCAGGTTATAAACTCTCATAGGTTTTTATTTTGATTAGCGCTTTAAAATAATAAAAAAATAATAATAGCAGGTGTGTTTTTTTAAGTAGATTGTGGTTGTTTACTTTTCAAATTATGATACACACAAACGCACGCACACACACACAAACACACATAAAAAAAACACACACTTACACACTTACCCATACATGCACACACACATTCATACATACATACATACAAACAAATTATAATATAACGTCATTGTATAACCCTTGATATCGTCACAACAACATCACAGTGACATCATCACAACAAAATCAAAACATCATCATCACAACAACATCATCACAACATCATCGTCAGCACTCTGAAGACGCAGCTACAAGAGAAAGAACAGCAGTTGAAGCAGCTGGATGAGCAGGTGCGTAGAAGGGATGATAGACTGAAGGAGAAAGATGATTTCCTGCAGCAAATCAACCGGAAGTTGATTGAAAAAGGAAATCAGGTTGGTTAACGAATTGACTGAGTGGCTGATTGATTGATATTTACTTCTACATTTCATTTCAGATCAAATCAAATATTTAATTTTACTGTCACGTTACGTTAGCCTCGCTCTGGTGTAGTGGTTGAAATGCTTGCCTCTGCAGCTGGCTGCACTGACTCGCGTTCGATTGCAAAAGGATCGTCACGGACTTGATGCGTTGATGTATGCGCCGTGTGTTTGTTGTTGACAGGTTCATGCATGAAACAACAGATGGCATTGCACAAAAAAACTAACCAATCATAGTTTCATAGTAACATAAGACAGTGCAAACTAAACTACATAATACCACCACGATAACACCAACTGGGCAGGTAAGTGACATGGACCGCACCATCCGACAGATCATCCGCAAGCTACAGGCCAGGGACTGCGACCTCGGCATGACGAACGCCGAACTGAGGAGGGTCCAAAATGAACTGAGGACCAACCAGGAGAAGTTGCAGGAAGCAAAAGCGAAACTCGACGCACTCGAAATGAAAGCGAAACTTGAAGTCGTGAAACCCCAAAAAACAGTTGCAGTCAGTAAAACGGCAGAGAAGGCTGCTTACGATGATGTAGTCAGACACAAGTTGGAAAGTGTCCAATTACTGGAGGACAATTTGAAAATGGCGTCAATAGAAATAATTGCCTTGACAAAAACGATAGAAGATCTAAAATCGAAATTGAATTCTAAAACAGAAGAATCGGGAAACGTTATTTCCGATCTGGAAATGAAAGTGAAACTAGCGGAAGAAAAAAATCACGCTCTAAGTTTGTTGTACGAGAAGAACGTTGCTTCGACTGCTGCAGCTTCTTCAGGCGACACAAGTGATAGCCACAATCAAACCGGTAGCGATGGTTGTAGAGGTGTTTGTGGAGAGGTGGTGGCTGCAATCAGTCCCTCCGAGGCATACAAACAAATGATGCGAGAAAAAGAGAACTTGATCATGGAAAAATTTAAACTGAACAGTGAGCTAAACAAAGTCAAGAAACAAAATGGAGAGCGGGAACAAGAAATTGTTCGACTGAATCAAGAAATTGAAAAAATGAAAGTGGAACTTAATAGTAGATCATCAAAAGGTCGCCAGCAAGAAACATCTGCAAACAAATTAGTATGAGTTTTTTTATTTATTTATATATTTTTTTGTTTTTCTAAGAAACTATCTCTTAACGTAAAGACATTTATTTTTCATGATTGTAAGATCATTTTTGACCAATTATAGGAAGTTTTGAGGCCAGAAACCTTACCAATCCCTCCGAAAAAAATTTCTCCTCAATCATCCCCCAAACTTCCTTCCTCACTTTCCACGACCACCTCAACATCGGAGTCGACATCTCAGACGATAGCTAAGCTAAGGTCAAAGGTCATTCAGCTGGAGACGCACTGGAAGGCAGAGAAGTGTACGTTGGAGGAGTTCTACGACGGACACATCCAACAGCTGCGGGAAACGAACAAGCAGCTGCAATCGAACAACCAGCTGCTGAGGAAGGAGTGCGATGGTCAGTTGCTACTGTTGCAGAACTCCAGGAAGGCACTGGCTGACCTGAGGCAGAGATTCGACATTTCATCGGTGACCTGGAATGAGGAAAAGGATGCTCTGAAAGTCAAGGTCAATCAGGTTGGCTCTGCTCTGTTGCATCAACCTCACAATAGATAACTATATATCTATTTTAGCGATTTTAACAATATTCGTTATTTTTTATGTTTCATTTTTGTTTTTGAAATTTATTTTGAAATTATAATTTATTAAGTAAATATTTATTTAGCAAAAATTTTATTTATTATTTAAAATGGGAGTACTGTTTACGAAATATTTTTTTCTCATTTTAACGTTTAATTTCTTTTTCCAACGTCCAAAAAAAAAGGTGAACGACCTCCAGGAACAACTGAAAGTTTTGGAAAAGTCCAACGAAGATTACTTCACGCGATTGGAGGCTTCCGAAGTTAAGCGACATGACCTTGAAGTCAAGTTGAGTCTCTGTGAAGCGCTCCTGAAGAGGGAGAGAGAAAAGTTTGAGGAGAGAATGAAAATGGTGAGCTGCCTGGTTTCATCAGGCTTGTCGATATATTATCCTCGTCATCATTGTCATCATCATCCTTCTTTTACTCAATTCTATTCTATGCAGTTGCCTTCCACCACTCCAAACACTGAATCGTTGACGGCAGTCACCACACCAGCCACAACCAGCAGCAAGTCGTCTGCGTTCACTAGGGTAGCTGAATTCAAAGCGAAGTTTGTATCCTTGTTTGAATAAAAAATATACATTGAAAATTTTCAAATATAATTATGTTAGTTTTATGAAATCAAATTTCAAAATATTGGAATAAATATTAGTACCAATTAATTTGAATGGCGAGTACGAGCCTGACCACGTGACGAACCAAAAAAAAACCAAAAACAGATTCGAAAAGTTTGGCAAATTGTCGAAGAAAGCAGACGACAGCGTGGACCTGAGCACGAGTCCCAACGTCAGCAACAAAAGCGCCAAACATTCCACGACATCTGCTGCCGCTGCCACAACCACATCCACACTAACAGCTGGCCAGGAATCCATCAACATGCTGGAAGAACTCGTGAGGAAACTCCAGAGCCAGATTTTGAACCTGGAGTCTAAGAGAAGTCAAGACGAGGAAAGATGGAAGAAGAGGCTGGACAGCCTGAACAAGAACTACGAAAGTGATGTAGCTGAGAACAAGAGGAAGACTGCTTCCGTTAGTCAATGTGGTGGCGGAATGTGTTGATGGTGATGCTGACGATGGTGATGATGACGTTGGTGGTGATGACGACGGTGATGATGACGATGATGACGAATTTTAATAGAAGGATATGGAACCTTGTTAAATTGCACTGAAAAAATGTGGATTAGTAGAGTGATAGATGAGTTACTAGAAAATGAAAAGTTTTTAAAAATAATTAGCATTAGAAAAATGAAAGAACAAATAAAAAATAAAGGAAAAAAGAAAGTGAAAAATGCGGAGACAAACAGAGAGAGAGGAGAGAGAGAGAGGAGAGAGATTGCCAAACTCAGTTGTTGTAACGGTTGGTGGAAGTTCTACTGGCAGCATTCAATTGCATGGTCAGCTGGAAGAGAGGAATAAACAGTTTTGGTAACAGGGCAAAGTTTACTCTGTTGTGGAATGTAAAATAAATTGAGTTAACTGAAATATAGCAAGCTAAAATAGAATAAAATTGTGATAAATGTGATCTATGACTGTTCCAAAATACACCCTCTTCACCATAGTATGAACGCAAAGAAAAAGATCACACACGCCTGCAAAAGATGCTTGCCGACCTCCAATTCCGATTCGTCGACGATGCCAACCAATGGCAAGTTGAGAAAAATCAATTTCAAATCCTATTGGATAACTCGAGGGCAGAACTTTTGAAGCATAAAGAATCTGTGATACGATTGGTTGCTGAGGTTGGTGAAACGATTTGACTGAATACCTTTTAAATGTTTCAAAGCTGGTGTTGTTCTCATGATAAGAAGGATGAATGCGATAGAAACACTAACTCTCTCAGATCAAACGCTTGAAGATGCTGGCCTGTCATCTCGGCATCCAGGCACCTGCCAATTTCCTGACTGCTGAAACTAAAATTAGGCGAGTGGGCGGAGTTATCTTTTTATTTTATATTTAAATTGTTATAATTAATATAAAATGAATGAATAAATGAATGAACGAATGAGCAAAAAATTAATGAAGGAGTGTATAAACAAAAGAATGAATGAACAAACAAACGAATTATTGATTGAATATATAAACAAATGTACAAATGACTGATTAAATGAACGAATGAACAAAAGAATAAACGAAGAGCAAAAGAACGAACGAACGAACGAACGAATGAATGAATGAATTAATGAATGACCGAATCATCGAATGAATGATTGGCAAATTAAAAGAATGATTAAATAAAAAAAATTAACGGTAAAATAGTATGGGGTAGCGGAATGGCTCAACGTCAAAGTGACCCTATCTCTCATTCTTTCATTTTTTCTTTCTTTCTCTCTCTCTCTCTCTCTCTCTCTCTCTATTTCTCTCCTCTCTCTCTCTCTCGTGTAACAGTGACCGAGTTTGACTGCAAACGAAAAAATCCTGGCCTTTTACATACAAGCACGATACGGTGCTATACAAATGACACTTATCCATAATAACAAAAAAATTGAAGTTATCAATATAGAATGAATACCGTTTAAAAATTATTTAAAATTTTTAGGTCATCTAAACTGTTTAACTGTTAAAATTGCTGAAATAAAATAAAATAGGTCACGAAGTTTGACCCCAAGTGCAGAGAAATTGAGGTTAAGCGGTCTGAAGGACAAAGAGAAAGTCAACGATCTGAGTCCAATATTTGGGTCAGGGGCTGATAATGAGGTCACATTTTTAATTTATTTTATTAAATGGAATTTAATGTTTTATTTAATTTAATTCAGTTTTTTTGTTATGTTTGGTGAATGAGTTTTATGAAAAAATGTTAAAATAGACGGAATAATAGATAGTTAAATAAATGTTCAAGAGATGAACAAATGAATGAGTAAATGAACGACTGAATGAATGAATGAATGAATGAACGAACGAACGAACGAACAAATGAATGAATGAATAAATGAATGAATGAATAAATGAATGAACAGTTGATTGGTTGATTAAAAGATAGAAAAAAGGATTAATACATTGATAGTTGAATGAATAACTGTTCGATTGATAGACAGATGATATTAAAACAAACGCAAGAATGAATGAATAAATAGATAAAGAATATGTAATTCATCTCAATAGGTGAATTAATTTAAACAATAGCTAACGGTCGGCAAATAAATTTGCTAATAAATGATTAATGGAATAAATAAGCTGAGCGAGTGAGCTCTTGAATACAGTGGTTATATTTTTTAACATTTTTCAGAATATCTTACTGGACCTGGCACAGGTTTGAAATTATGTTTATATCATCATCATCATTACCTCCACCATCAATATATTATTGTTATTATTATTATTATTACTATTAGTAGTAGTAGTAGTAGTAATGGTAGTAGAAGTAGTCGTAGTAGTAGTAATAGTAGTGGTAGTTATAGTAGTATTGGTAGTAGTAGTAGTAGTAGTAGTAGTAGTAGTAGTAGTAGTAGTAGTAGTAGTAGTAGTAGTAGTAGTAGTAGTAGTAGTAGTAGTAGTAGTAGTAGTAGTAGTAGTATCATCATCATAATCATCAGTCGATTGAAGAGGCCGCTAGAATAGCTGAGAACCTGAACAATCCGATGATGATGACGATGGTGATGACGAGCACTTCATCCATCATTACCACAAACCCTTCGTCGTTGTCACTGTCGGTAGCTGGCGTCGGCGTTGTTGGTGGCGGTAGTAGTAGCTGGTCGTCGGTGCAGTTTAAAAGGTGATTATGGTGATGATGATGGTTAAATGATGGGGCTATGACGATGAAGTTTAAAGTGATGATGACGACGACAATGTCGAAAATGATGACATTGGTTTTCAACATGATATAAATTTTGAAAACCATCAAAGAACGTCATTAATAAATATAACCGCTAGACAATAAATAATTTTATTTCCCCTGAGTAAGTGAGTACAGTGATTCCTATCAAGCTGCTGGATAAACACACACATTTTCAAAGAAGGCCTTTCTTTGCGTATTTGATAAGTGTCTGAGCGAACACTCAGTGTAGAGCTAAAAAACCCCTACTATATTTCAATTTTTGAGTTGCAATTACGGCAAACATGAAAACAATAATTGATGAAGATATTTACTTGTGTAAGTGAGAATGTTGGCGTAAGGTTAAATTGTTATATGAACGGAGCGTATTGGATTTTAAAAAGAGCCCATTATAGAAAATATTAACCGAAATCGGGCTAACACTTTTATAGGCTGAAAATACTTTTTATTCATTTTTTGCAGATATTTTTTGTTATCATATAACAACTTTTTTTTAAGTTTTAATTTTTTATTACAGACTAAATCGTTCAAATGAAATAACACCACGTTGTTTTAAGGGCACACTTATATTATTTATATTTTAATATATATAGGGCATAATTTACTTATTCATTTCATTATCTATATTTTTATCTCGTTTATTTACTATTTTTATTTCTTTACGTTTGATGATTGCCGTACAAGCCTTGCGGGCCTCTGGTTTTTTTTATCAATAAAATGAAATGAAAATGTAATTATGAGACATTAAGTTCTGGCTCATTCTTAGATCTCTTATCCGATGGACATTTTCAAAGGCTTTTTTAAATAAAAATTGTGAAATGGGTTAATAAATTGTTGTCCAGCTCTAAATTGCTGTCTAGAAACTCCATGCGACAAATTTTTTAGTTATTCTACTTAATAGAAGTGATGACGACAATAAAATTATAACGACGACGATGTTGACGATGAGAACGGTGATGGTGAGCATGAATACGTAATAGTTTCATTAAGAGAATCATGCAGGCACATACACATGCACAGACACACGCACGCACGCACGCACACGCAGATCAAATTCTACCGTTGAAGTAACTACAGTGGCTGCCACGCCATCGTTTGCCTCACCGACGTCAGCATCAATAGCCGTGACGTCATCGTCCCTTCTGAGGCGGCCGTCAAGAAAAGAGTTTAAAAAATCTTCATCGCAAGATGGCGAAGTGCGAGAGGGGAAAAGTGAGGTTGTCCATGGTGTGGGTAATGGAGCCCATGGTGGGGGTGGTGGAGGTAGTGGAGGTGGTTGTGGTGGTGCGGGAGCAAGAAAGTTGGGAGACATTGTCGAAATGAAGGTTAAAGGATGTTTAGACTGGTTATGATGTTGATGATGATAATGTTGACGATGTGATGGTTGAGTCAGTGTTAGTCTTAATATTTGTAATTACGTTCTCAGTAATAATAACAATAATAATTTTTTGGTTTGAATGTGTAGATTAATTAAATTAATAAAATAAATTAAATTAATTAACCCATAACGTAGAAATAGCGATTCTCTACAAATTTTAAATGATTGAATGAGATGTAACAAATTAATGAAATAAATAAATAGAGCTAACCATAACTTTAACTAACCATAATCTTCACACTTACAACAACGGCCATTGAAGTTACAACAATCACATATTTTTACACATGCAACTTCAAATTTACCGATCAACAATCAGCCAGTAATCAACCCAACAACCTTCATAGTAGGAACAAAATAACAACTAACACAACATCCGACGAGAGCATGTTTTCAACCACCACACAACAACCAACCAACCAACATAATCATTCACCAAATTCACCACCACCACAACAACCAATATTTCCACCAGAGCAATCGCAACTCCACCTACCTCTCTGGCACTCAGAGCGCTTATGCATCTCGGGACCCTTCGCCCGACACGACCATCATCTCTAACCTCCCACCACCATCATCGTCTTCATATTTGTCATGGGGCTGTACCATGCCCCGATATTCCACTAACAGAATAACCACCCTTCGAACAACTCCAGCAGTTCAGTACCCCAAAGCACCACCAAGCATGATCATCACTCCTTCTCATACCCCAAAGAGGGCTCAGTCTGTCGAAAGGGGAAGCCTGGGATCAACCGTCATAAAAGGTGGAATGACGCAAGATGAAGTAGATGCCGTTTACCAGAAATTGGAAGCCATTTTGGACAAAAATAGTAAGAAAGATGAGGTGAGGGAGTCGAATCAAAAAGAAAAACTAGGTCCAGGAGAAGGTTCAGGACAAGATACAAATTTTGA